CATTTCGTATTTGACACACACTCCCTAAAACGAGGGGGAGGAAGGAGGGAGAGGGGCTTACAATGAAAAACAGTATGCATTTCCTTTGCCAGACTTTTACCACTCTAAAAATCTCCAGCATTTTGTACAGAAAGATTTTGCCTTTGATGTCAATCCAACGCTTTTTTGCTTGCTCCTGCAAGCAGTACAGTGTGCAATACATTTTCTAACTGGCAAAGAAACAGTGCACTGTCTAGAGAGTGCCTGTGAAATTCACCCTACTCAGAGGGTCACTGCAGCATGTAAATTCCTGAGGAAAAGGCGAAATGGTGTGCAGGCCTCACACTGGTGTATTGCACAGAGGTGAACTTCATCATATGCAGACACCCAGCTCATCAGCACTTTTTTCCAGCAGCATTTTTTAAAAAAATGAATTCTGGAGAGGTTTGTCTGTTATTCACAGAAGCAAATGCAGAAAGACAATATTAGACTTGCATACTTGGCACCTTTGTATTCTTAAATAGAAGGTGAAAGCACCTCCAAATGTTATCTGGGGTATGCCACGCAGAAGCCAAAGAAAATAAGCAGTTCCAACGCCTCCCGAGTTAAAGTAACTTTAAACAAAAATAATCCAGTCGGCACAAAAATGCGGCGCAGTTCTCACAAGTGGTACCTGTGGCGAAAGCACCATATATGATGTGATGAACAATGTTCATTTTATGAATAAATTCTTCTTTACCCTGGGGTAAAGGCGCCGGCACTTTCCCGTTTATGTGAGCTCATGTAATTGCCGACGTTATCTGGGTCAAGAAGGAGCTTGATCCAGTCGGACATGAAGGCAGGACTCAGAAAAATGTGTTTAACAAACCACTCCAGGCTGTGCCTGTCAGGAAAAGCTGAAGACTTTGCACTGCTCCGAGCATGGCTATTGTTCCCCCATACAGAACTGCAGAGCCTGAACCACCTCAAAAGGTCTGTTTCAAGGGCTTGTTGGAGAAATGCAATGATCATGGAGTGGGGCCGTGTGGGATGAGTCCATGTGTTTGCTACCTGAACTGGCACTAAATGGGCTCTTTTCCTTACCAGCACTAAACATTGAACAAACAAATACTATTTCAAGAATCAGAGGCAGCAGATATTAAAAATGAAGAAACAATTTAATCCTAGAGTGCAACCTTTCAGCCAAGCAATGACTGAGGTTTTGCAAACCAGGTATGCTTCTCATCTGCTTGGGAAGAGTGACAGGACATCAAAAAACAGCATTGGGTGAGAGCAATGAGGTCTTGATATACATTGACAGACCATTCTCAATATTCTCCTCTAGCTTATTGAAAATCAAAACAAGGCAGCAGACTTGCTTCAGATGTTCAATTTCCTTCAGAACAGCAGCGAAAGAGCAGGAATGTAGCTAAGACTTGCTTTAGAGCAATTGAGCTTGGAAGACAAATGAAGAAAACCAAAATTCAAGTCCCCTGAAATCTAAACAGAAGAGCATCTCTTCTTCCCCGGACAGAGCTTTCCTCTGCCCTGGGAATAATTTCATAGTTCTGTCAGAGTGACACATTAGCCTTGGGTCAGATCCAAAGCTGTTCAATCTTGACGCGGATTCATCATTGACATCAATGGGTCATTGATGAAGTTTACTATGAAAAAGCAGATAAAATGAGAAATGTTTAAATTCAGTCCAAAAGGGACAACACTGAGGCATGTCACCTTTCTGCAGTATCACCTGGAAAAGCAAAATTATGCATGTATAATCACTACCATTTCAAGCCATCACCACCGTGAGTCACTCATGATTAAGTTTTTCTGGAGAGCAGTGGGCAGTGTTCTCACCTCAAATTATCATTAAACTGTAAGAACTCAAATGGGTACCTCACCTGATGGGGAAGCAAACTTAAAGGAAAGGAGATAAAAAAAAAAAAGAGGGTGCAAATATTTTTTTTCATCTGTTACAGCTGCCTTTTGATAACTCCTGCAATTTTGTTTTGTCTTTTTTCAACCACTCTGTTTACTTTTAGAAGTCAGTCTGTTCATTTCCTTTTCTTTTCCTACTAGTAAAATGGCAAAAAAAAAAAAAAAAAAAAAAAAAGGAAAAATGAATATAACCCACTGTGAAGGAAGACTCAGTGAAATAACAGACTACATACAAATAACTAAATCACAAATAACTAAAGATGCTGCAGGGATCAAATATTGTTTGTTCTATCCTCCTTCCAGTAAAACAGCTTCTTTTTGCTAGCACTGTTTGTAGTTGCACTTGAAGTCATTCATCTAGATGGATATAAACTAACTGTAAGTGTCCCTTAAATTGCACACACCTTTTTTTTTTTTTTTTTTTTTTTTTTTTTTTCCTGGCGAGGAGGGAGAATTCCCATGAATATATCAAATTCCAAATTGGTTTTGGAAATGATAAGGACAACAGTCTGACAGTACCCGCTGTTCCCACTCCCCAGTTCTGGGTGTCCTTGGACCATCACCAATACTATGAAACGCAATTACAAAGAGTTCCTCATCCAGCAACAGAACTACCTCAGGATTTTGGCAGGGACTGCTTTCACCTGCGGCCATACAATAAAGCAGCCATCCACACAGCAATGACACTGTGCTAGTGTTCAGTGAGTGCTGGCAGGTCACCACCTAGAGATGCTCAAAGCCAGCTCTTCAGATACCCAATAGAGGCTGCTTACCTCTAGGAGCCAACAATCAAAGCTGCTGTATACCCAAAGGTAGGATGGTGGTGGTCCCCCCGTGACAAAAGATACTTGGCAGGAATTCTCGCCATTCAGTTTAAACCCTTGAATGCTGGACAAGGCAAGGTCAGAATGGAGAGGCTACAGAGAAACAATTAATTATTCATTCAAGCGTTATTAATGGCTTGTCATAGAGATGTAAAAGCTAACCCTATATAACTTCTACCTAAGCTTCAGCTACAGGGCAAAATGCTTCCTTCAACACCCCTGGGCTCCCCACATAGTTTCACTGTGACTCTTACCAGGGGACCAACTTAAAGACTGTTTTTTACTTTATCCCATTTCTTTGTAGGGAAGAAATTGTGTTTTAGTTAACAACACATTCTTCCAGAGCTACTGTTGAAAGCCATGTGGCCTTAAGTGTCCTTGCTCACAGCGACAGGATGGCCTGTTACTCACACGCTAGGTTCACATATTAAAGCTGGGTACACAGTCTAGTTGTGCACTGCACACGTGTTTTGTCTCAAAAGCTGTTTAATCATTCCGTCCTCAATATTTGTTTTGAAGAGAGGGAAAGAAAGCAGACACCAGTCAGTATTTTTCCCACTCCATCCAGCACAATTACAGATAACTTCCCAGAACAAGGTTTACTGCGGCAGCCAAGGGTCTAACCAGTGCAACCTGCAATAGGGAGTGATAAGAGCAGCACCACGCCGAGCACAGAACAGCTTCCCAGTATTCCTAAATAACATTTCGTCAGTTATTTGCAGCTGAAACAAATTTGCAGACTGAACAACCACAATGTATGTACAATTGCATAGGATGGGACAATGTCAAACTATTCTGGAGAAGGGCAACACCTGATTTTTAGTAGTTAATAATTAATAAAGGCAACAACAAAGGAGAGGTATATCGAAAATTTCTTTCTAAGTCTCAGCGTGTATCATTTAAGGAGAAATGCACAACATGCCTAGAGCCAGTATTGGCAAGCTGCAGGAGAGAAGTTCAGTTACGCCTATGCAGACAGAGTGCTGCTTCAGCCCATGGCTGGAATTGCCAGAACATATTGTTTTAATACTACACTATACCCATCCTAACACAGGAGTAACGAGGCTGCATGGCACGCAGTCCTGGCTGCCAAATTGAAACATGAGTCTCAGACCTGAGGGTGACTCATTTCAGACCAAATGGTACGGCGCACCAAACTGGACCTAGCATGCAAGAGCCTTTCTTTGAAAAGATACAGGAGCAAAAGTTTGTTAGAGCCAGCGGCTGCAGCCACCCCACTTCCCTGAGCCTTTGGGAGCACAGGATGCCTATAGAGGCTCTTGCAAGCTAGTTTGCCTCGGATCTTCCAAAACAAACAAACAAACAAAAGAAGAAAGTGAGGATTAGAGCAGCTTCTAATTTATTCATGGACAACTCAGCTGCAAGAGAAATCAGAGAGGTATGAGCTTGTTTCAACGAGAGCTTCACGAGACAAAAAATGTTTACATATTCGAACATTTTTTTTCTGCTAAAGAGCTGTACAGAAAACTTTTCATGCACTTTCACAGGAAGAAGGTTTTTCAGGTTTTCCCACTGCGGAGCTATCTGAAAAGAACATGCAGAAAAGAGCGAGAGGAACAAAGCTGGTCCCTCTGGTTCCACCTCCCTCTTCTCACTTTAGTTTGCTAACGGCTTTTGTCCTAAAGCTTCCCTCCCGCTCTCCACCCTCCCAGCCTTTCTCCTCTACTCCCTACCCTTGTGCTTGTCATTCATCTCCTGCCCATCCCGCACCTTTGCCAGCACCACGGACACAGGAGTGCCGCTTCTGCCTGACTTCAGCGGGCTCATCGTCCGAAGTGAAGAAGTCAGGAGAGAAAGGTGGCAACCATTTTTTTTATTTTTTTTTACGCTGGGACTCTTTCCACTGCCTCAACTTGGTATAACTAAATCCAAAGAGGCTTCACGGAAAATAAATAAATAAATAAAAGAAAATAAATTGAAAATGTAGACAGGCTCTAAGTCATCGAACAATAGCAGCACTGTTAGCGACCCTTGATCAAACAAGTGTCCATTCCTTACTCCAGGCCAACCTCGCAGGCGTTAGCCCAGCAGAAGCAGCGGTCCGACCCAGTACGGACAGCCCTTGAAGCCCACTCCCTACCGGCGCACCTCCTCCTCCTCCTCCTCCTCGCACCGCACCGGGCATCACCGCACACCCACGGGACTTCAAAACCACTTTCAGAAACCGGGAACCCGGCAGGGGAAAGGGGCAACAGCGGGCTCGGAGACCCCGGGGGAGAGGCGAGCCGGGCACCCCTCCAGGGTCCGGAGGGCGCTTACCTGCGGGGGCTGCGCGGGGCTCCGCGGGCGCGGATGGAGGGAGCGCGGCTCCGCCGCCGCCGCCGGCGCGCAGGGAGGGAGGAGGAGGAGGAGGAGGAGGCGAGGAGGAGGAGGAGGAGGAGAGGAGGAGGAGGAGGGACGGGGAGGGACGGGACGGGCTCCCTCCTCCCCCGCTCCGCCCGCCTCGCCGGGCGGGGGCCAGGTGCGCCCCCGCAGCCCCCCGCCGGTCCCCGCACGGTGCCGGGGGAGGAGAGGACCGACTGCAATCTTTTTTTTTTTTTTTTTTTTTTTTTTTTTCGGGGAAAAAGCAACTTTGAAGCGGTACGCAGCTGGAGCGACAGAGTTGCTGCCTCTGCGAAAGCGCCCGGACCTCCGGGAGGTGTCGGCGGCAGGAGTTTGCAGGGATCGGTCCGTAGATTCACCAAACGCCAGCAGCTGGGAGGGGGCAGGGTTGCACAGCGGGTGCTTTGTCCAGGCTTAGAGGAGTTATTTCATTATAGAAAAACAGGTTCAAATGACCTTTTTTTTTTTTTTTTTTTTTTTTTCGCCGCGAGTTTTGTTGTCCGGTGACATCCGATTTAGTTGGATTGCAGTAGCATCTAGAGGCCGCTTCTGCATGTGCACGCATCTGGTGCAAAATTTCAGTGCCTAGTGGCTGACATGGCTAGGTGTTTCTACATGCTTGTAGAGAGATTTTTGGAGAGATTACTTACAGCTAAACACGGCGGCAGTGCCTGCAGCAGTACAAAAGCCTATAATGAAAGAAAAGACCCAGCCCATTTAAAGCACTCTTTTCTTCTGTTTCTCAAGGAACCAGAAACCAGCAGAGGTAGCTATCCTGAAGGCAGATCTTTGCTTGTGCACCATCAACACAGTGATGACACTGGCCTCAGCAGTTACTGACAGGTATTGGGTGTCAGCACGACCAGATTTCTTGTTGTCATGGCTGGATGGGAGCTCTTTCCCTTTAGGAAAGAGTTGAATACATTTTTGTGCATCAACAATGGGTATGTCTGTGTATGTGTGTGTATTTCACAAAGACAGATGTTTATGCCCTACAAAATCCTGGAATTTATTCTGTGCTCAGCACTGTGCTTTAGCACAGAGATTGGTATTCAACATGCTCAAAGGACTTGTAAAGTATTCAGCAAGCCATTGACTTGGCAAAATATTTGGTTTCTTCTGTGCACAAAGCAAGTTATCGAGTGATTGCAGATGAGGCCATGATGGATGTTCTGTCACAAGCCATAATACCTGGTTTAGCACCCATACACTAAGAACCAGGACAGTTTTGGTTAGCTTCCTGTCTATGCACAGGCTGCATCCAGTGCTTGCCGTAACACTTAAAACAGTATAGTTAAATCAGACAGGTGTCCTGCCCTTAGGGCAGAGTTGGAGTCATCTGCATGACCTACTGTTTGAAAAGCGGATCTTCAGAGAGTAAAAGTGATTCCTCCAGTTCTGTAGCAATATGCTTTCCATAAGTAGCTTCATTGGAAAAAGGATTTTCCTTGGCTTTTTGGGACAGGAATTGCCTGCACATGTCCACAGTTCCTGTCCGGTGCTCATTCAGTTGCCCAGATGCCCCTACAACAACCAAGATTAACACAAATTATTAAAGCTTCAAGCGAGGAATAACCTGACAGGGCTCTCATGTCAGTGGTGAGACCTACCACCCTGAGCATGCAGTTTCGCTGGGATGGTGCAGGTAGGAAGGCATTTTGTAGGAAGAGCTACTGCATCTGTGAATCAGGAATTGCCAGCACTTAACTCCATAAAAACAGTGTCTCACCTAGGATGGTTACAGTATGGCTTTGGTAGTCAAGACCTTCTCGGCAGTGACTCGAGTTACTGATGCCTGAAGGAAAACAGCAGTCTTAGCTGTGCTTGTAGGAAAATGCCGCTCTATGCATGAGATGGAATTATGTGATGGCAAAATGATGACATACACTTAAAAAAAAATAATCATTTTTTAATCCATAGAAGTGGTGAAATTATATACTTTAAGCAGCAATAGCTCTCCAGTTCCTTTGATTTCTGTTAGTAGCTTCAGACATCCCTGAAACATTGACTTGTTATTTTTGAAGGGCTAACATGATTAATTAAATCTCAGTCCTCCATTCTTTCTCTGACTAGAAAATATAGGGGAACTTCAGCAAGCTTAGAAACAGGCAAATATTGAAGGTCCAGGGAAGATCACATGGTCCAGCAGAGTTTAATGAATGTAACTTCTATGAGACTTGGCTATGCTGCTCTGCAGTCTGTAACGTGTTTCTGTAATCACATACAGATGTACTGAATCACATTAGATAGGGAAGTAGTTTTCACATCCTTCAGTCTGGAAAAAGCGTCTGTTTCCAGAACAAACCACATAAGTTCCATGTGCTTGGTTTTGTGAATCGATTCAAATCATAAATATGCTTAGCATGTACACACATTGATATATTTACATTTAATTCTCAATGTTCATACAGTTTGAGCTGAGTGTCTGCAAGATTACTCATGCAGTTCCAGAAAAGTTAGACATCTCATTCCTCTTCAGTCTGGGCCTGGAAAGTACCTCTGGTGTTTTTAATTAAAAAATAAAAATTCAGGGAATTTACAGTTAAGATGTCTCTTCACTCTGGCACTTCTCTGTGCAGTGTACTGTGGAGTTCTTTTAATGACAGATATTTCATTTCAGATTGGGAATGTGTTGTATCTTTTAGCGCAGTGGGTGTTTTGAAGGAAGTATTAGATGAGAAGGCAATTAGTATCTTAGTGAATAAAAAAATGGTAAACATCGCTGTCTCTGAGGTAGGAATGACTGGAGAACTTGAAAAATATTTTCAACATAGACTTTCTATTGATCAGATGAAATGGTCTTATAAGTAAGCAGCCTTTAAAAATGTTCCAGTTTCCAAAAATACTGAGGTCCATAGTGCATTGCTGAAGCATGTGTTATGTTATGAAGAGCAGCGACAGCAATGCAGGCAGAAGAAAGTGCTCTCTAGAGTTTGAAGTTTTACTTATTTTTTATATTTGTAATACCAGAACCCCAGTGCTCACATTGTTCAAACATATCTGTTTGGAGCAGGGTGCAGAGGAGTTTGAACAAATAACATTATCCCATGGCTGGAAGGTGTACTGTTCTCCTGAGCACCTTCAGATGGATTAAAAGTCATGCAGAAAACAAACAGCACTATCCCCAAAGCCACAGCATGTTTGTGTCATTGTAGTTCTGCGCCGGTTCAATCTCATCCAGCCTCCTGCTATGTACTTAGAGATGTTGCATGCAGCATCCTATGAGCCATGGACTCTGAAACCTGGAGAGCTCTCAAGTCAAAGAGCCGCTTTTTCCACGCAAATGCTCTCTCTCACTGGCTCATGCTGCTCAACCTAGAGCTCGTCCTGGTTCTCCTGCACCATAGCTGGTTACTGGAAAGCTAATATGACTCTACCATGCTTGGAAGCCCAGCCTTTCCTTTGGGAAAAGACTTTCAGCCCATGCCCATCCCGGATGGTTGTGCCGTACCATCTCCATGACAAGATCTGGGCCATGTCAGGATGTTTGGAGCAGCCTCGTGCCAGACAGCAAAGCAGCATCTGCCCATAGGCAGCAGCTCTTCAAGCACTGCTCCCACACGGCTCTGTCCCACGGGGTCCATCCATCCCCCAGGAGCAAACAGCTCCAGCACGGGTCCCCCATGGGCAGCACAGAATCACAGAATCACAGAATTTCTAGGTTGGAAGAGACCTCAAGATCATGGAGTCTAACCTCTGACCTAACACTAACAGTCCCCACTAAACCATATCCCTAAGCTCTACATCTAAACGTCTTTTAAAGACTTCCAGGGATGGTGACTCCACCACTTCCCTGGGCAGCCTGTTCCAATATCTAACAACCCTTTCGATAAAGAAGTTCTTCCTAACATCCAGCCTAAAACTCCCCTGGCACAACTTAAGCCCATTCCCCCTCGTCCTGTCACCAGGCACGTGGGAGAACAGGCCAACCCCCACCTCGCTACAGCCTCCTTTGAGGTACCTGTAGAGAGCGATAAGGTCACCCCTGAGCCTCCTCTTCTCCAGGCTGAACAAGCCCAGCTCCCTCAGCCACTCCTCGTAGGACTTGTTCTCCAGGCCCCTCACCAGCTTCATCGCCCTTCTCTGGACCCGCTCAAGCACCTCCATGTCCTTCTTGTAGTGAGGGGCCCAAAACTGAACACAGTACTCGAGGTGCAGCCTCACCAGAGCTGAGTACAGGGGGACGATCACCCCCCTAGCCCTGCTGGTCACACTGTTTCTTATGCAAGCCAGGATGCTGTTGGCCTTTTTGGCCACCTGAGCACACTGCTGGCTCATATTCAGCCGACTGTCCACTCCCAGGTCCTTCTCTGCCTGGCAGCTCCCCCCAGACCCCCTGCTCCTGCGTGGGCTCCTCTCCACAGGCTGCAGCTCCAACCTGGGGCCTGCTCCTGCGGGGGCTCTCCATGGGCCACAGCCTCCTTCAGGCCACATCCACCTGCTCCACCGGGGGCTCCTCCACCCATGCGGGGGCTGCAGCATGGAGATCTGCTTCATGTGGGACCCATGGGCTGCAGGGGGACAGCCTGCTCCACCAGGGGCCTCTCCCTGCACAGCCCGCAGGGGAACTGCTGCTCCCTGCCTGCAGCACCTCCTGCCCTCCTGCTGCACTGCCCGTGGGGGCTGCAGGGCTGGCTCTCAAATCTCTCTCCCAGCTGCTGTTGCCCAACACTTCTTCCTCTCCCTTAACTCTGCTCTCCCAGAGGCTCACACAGTGTTGCTCATGGCTCGGCTCTGGCCAGCAGCAGGTCCCATTTGAAGCAGCTGGAGCTGGCTCTGCTCTGACATGGGGCAGCTGCTGGGCACTGCTCACAGAGGCCACCCCTGCAGCTCCATGCTATCAACACCTTCCAAATAAACCCAATACAGATGATTGCACTGGGGTTTGTAAGACGTTTTGAGAAAGTTATTGTCAGATATGTAAAGAAGCTCAACATGTTACCGAATAATCCGATGGTAACTTGCATAGGACCATAATCCTTAGCATTGCAGCTACTAATCTTTTGAGCCACATGGCATCAAGTAGTGGAGTGCACAAGATCCAGTGGCTGTGT